TGTTAATTAGAGTCAGTGAGCAGAGGAATATCCTACACGAAATAAGAAAACGGAAGGCTAATTGGATTTGTCATGTTTTACGCAGAAACTGCCTTCTAAAAGAAGTTATTGAAGGAAAGATAGAGGGGCGGATAGAAGTGACAAGAAGACGAGGAAGAAGACGTAAGAAGATGCTGGATGACCTTGGGGACAGAAGAGGATACTGTAATTTGAAGGAGAAAGCTCTAGATCGCATTAAGTGGAGGATTTGTTTTGGAAGAGACTGTGGACCTGTCGCCTGACAGATTAATGATGATGATGATCTGATGATTGCAAAATATCTGATCTGTAGTTGATCTGTTACGATTTTCCTGACTCTTTTTCTGTCGATGCTCGCTTGCTCTGCTATGCTCCAGACAGCCTACGATTTTCACGCACAATTTGACGAACTTTTGGAATCTTTTCTTCAGTTCTGCTCGTTGCTGGCCATCCTGACCTCTCTTCGTCAATGATACTTTCTCGTCCCTCAGAAAAACATGTCACCCACTTGTAAACTGCTGTTCTCTTCATAGCATCATCGCCGTACTTGTACTAACATCTCCCTGATTTCGCTTCCACTCTTGCCAAGTTTAACGAGAAATTTAATGTTCGTTCATTGGTCTAATTCAAGCTCTGACATTCTCGCAACGGCACAACAAAACACACTCAGACAATAATAGATGCTACTCAGAAAGAGACTGATAGATCAACAACAACACTCCACTGCTGCTACGGCAAGCACACGGTGTCGAGTTCGCGAACTTTATTGTCAGACCTCGTAAGTCAGTGGTTCGTCACCGTGTGCCACAAACTGGTGGAAAAGGAGCCTAACAAACGCTGATGGCAAAGGAAGAGGGAAAGTGATAATAGTTCGAATTCCGGTTGGGTCAAGAACTCTCTCCACGTCATTCAGACCAACTCTGGGACCCACCTAGCCTCCTATCCAATGGGAACCGGGAGTAAAGCGGCCAGGACGTGAAGCTTATCACTCACCACCAAATAGTGCCAAGGTCCAAAAAATATGGATCCATACAACCACTGCCCCATACGCCTTAATTACTTTTTACCTTTTTAGGGTTCTCTGTGCCCTGTTACTTCCGTCAGCGCTTGTTACGAAAACAGGCTCGGGTGCTGAGAGGCAGGCGCCGTCTGCAACCGGCAGCTTTCCCAACATCGCGGACTTGTTCTGCTAAACCAAAGCGTCAACAAACAGTATCATCAACATCTTTGATCATCTCCCGAGCCAGTCTGGAGCAGGTCCAAGGCGGGACGTCACGAGGACGTTAACCTCTGTGTACGTTATTGGGAAACCTGTAGTCTGAACTGCGTCGTGCGTGGACAGAAGGGAAATATTCGCGTGACGCTGCGGTATGTTTAGTGACACACCGGTTTGTTTACAGAGTTGTTCAGACTGACACATACAGACATTCTCTCTCTCTATCTCTCTCCCCCCCCCTCCCTCTACGTATCGCGGTGTTTATTTCGATATTGTTCTGTGTTATTTTTATTTCTAATTTTCGTTTATAGTTTATGTATTACTCTTCTCCAACTATAATTAGAATGGTCAAGTCAAGGAGGATGAAATGGGGAATGAGGAATGCATATAGGATATTGGTGGGAGAGCCAGAAGGAAAGAGACCACTGGGAAGACCAAGGCGTAAGTTGGTGAACAATATTAAACTGGATCTTAGAGAGATAGGATGGGATGTTATGGATTGGATTGATCTGGCTCAGGATAGGGACCAGTGGAGGGCTCTTGTGAACATGGTGATGAACCTTCGGGTTCCATAAAATGCTGGGAAATTCTTGAGTAGCTGCAGATTTGGCTTCTCCTCAAGAAAGGCTCAGCTCCGTAAGTAAATAAGATTATCCATTAACGTTAAACAGATTATATTTATTCTGACAATCGGACAGGACACATGCATGCATTCTGTGGCAGAAAATGCTGGTTTTACTAATACCGTAGTTGGTGGTGTATATATACAGTAATTATCACTGTTCTTTAAAGGGTAAACATATACGTATTTTTCCACAAATTCATTTTGCTTAAGACGTATGTAATATGTGACGTTGTGTAGTTTGGTGGATGTTTCGGATTGACCTGCTGCCTCTGTCTTCAAGGTAAGCTCTGGCTAATCCTCAGCCGGAGAGACTGGGACCAGTTGACTAGTAGACCCTCAGAAGCTAAATCAGAGCCAATGTCAGAGAAACTGGGATGGACTGTTTAGTTTCACACTAGATTGTGGCAAATTGACCGAATATTATGAAATAAATTATAAATGCAGATGTAGACGCTTGACAGAATCTAAAAAGAGTGCAAAGGCGGAAAATTTAAAATTAAACTTTATGGCAGACGGCGTGTGTATAGTAACTATCTCATATGTGAGAGAACTTGTTTGGTTCTTCTGGGTCACAGCCTTGCTAATAATAGAGGCCAGATCATAAGTCCTTCTGCGCTGTCTGATAACCCGTCTGTTATTACATTTCTGGAGGCGTCCGTCACAATGTTCGCGGCGTCGGTTAGAAAAAGAAGTTAGAACTGGTACATGTGGCTCGCTAGACCAAATGTGTCGACTTATAAAACCAGCGTTAACGTTGCAAGGGAAACAGCAGCAGTTGTCAGTGTAACTGCCATGAGGCATCAGTCCTGGGCCCAACATAAATAGCTTCCCCTGTTTTTCTTTTTGCCAGTCGGAAGATGCGAATATTGTTAGTCATTTATGTCGTTTTGGTATTTAAAACTTGAAATTAATGGAAATAATATATAGAAATACAGTTCGTACCTCACAGGAAACGCATTATGTCTCCGCTCCGGTTAATGCTGTTTAGAGAAATGATCGCTGTTTATTGTGAGGCTTGACGTTAAGGCAGGTGATAAATATAATATCCAATGTGTTTTAAACGTTCAAAATTCATCCACATTTTTCAGGAGGTATTTTAGGATTCTTATTATACATGTATGCTGGTCAATGTGAGTTTGTGTACTGTTCAATTTTTTTATAGTGAATAGCATTTGGAATGTCGAAAAACATTAACCAGTAAATACACTAATACATTAAAGAAATCAAGTTCAATGTTGACATTGTGAAGATGTACTGCATCATTCAGAAACAAGTCTTCGTGTACGTGTAACCAACTAACCAAGTAACTGACTCTATAGAGCAGCGTTCTTCCGAGAAGTTATCAGTCAAGAAATTCCACATCTTTTATAGAATCAAGAAGTTCATTACTGTACTCACACGAGCCCGCCATTGGTCCCAAAATTAATCCAGTCTCATACCTTATTTACTTCAGATCCATTTTAATATTATCACAACTACGCAACGTTCTCTCATAGCCGGGATAGCGTAGTCGGTATGAGATGGACGACCGAGGAGATAGGAGTTCGAGTCCCGGTAGGGTCAAGAATTTTGCTCTTCTCCATGTCGTATAGACCGGCTCTGGGATCCATTCAGCCTCCTATCAATGGGTACGGGGGTAAAGCGACCGGGGCGTGAAGCTGACAACTCACCTCCAACTATAGCTGAGGTAAAAAAATGGATCTATACATCCACTCCCCCATACGCCTTCATGGCGTAGTGCTTAATTAGTTAAGCACAGAGACAACTTTACCTTCTACTCTACCCGTATAATGTATTCCGGGTCTTTTCTTATGAACGGTTAAACGAATTTCAACCAAATTTCACAACGCCGTGTCGCAGGAAAAGTACATGAGCAACATGTCATCCTATTAAAAGGGCTACTTCAAGTAACGCAACGCACACAACCTTATCTGTTCATCATACAAAGCGGATTCCATATTGGAACCGAACCACGACGGAATAATTGCAGCGACTGCCTTATATGGCACGTCGAAAGAAATTCTTCTGATATTTCACTAACCGACAAACATATGTGGGTAAAAATAGAAACGGTGGATGCTTATGCGACCTCGATAGGTTCCCAGCCATTTCACTCGCATGCACCTTATTCAAGGCCTACTTTATATCAAGCAACGAAAGATACTTTTCGTATGTTACATAAGCAACTAGTCAACTGTGGGTCTGAACTAACAGGCGTAGGATGCACGCCCATAAGAGGACAGCCATGACTTTAAAGAATATAGACCTAACTGGCAGGCCGTCGAATGAATTTCTATTGGTAACTTAAAAATTATTCATCATACGTCGATCTACGTCACAAGTTCGTAACCAGTGATTGTGGTCCATATCAACCCATTATCAGCCATACTTTACACAAGAACGAAATTTTCTTATACGGCATACATCGTTAACACTTTAAAGACCAAATTTCTTCTATATAATATATAGCAATTCAGTCCTTACCTCACAGGAAACACAGTACGTCTCCGCTACAGAGCCCAACCGGTTAATGCTGTTTAGGGAAACAGTCGCTGTTTATTGTGAGAACCATACGGAACACACAGATACACTGTGTGTGCAGAATATATAGCAATTCAGTTCGTACCTCAAAGGAAACATATTGCGCCTCCGCTACAGAGCCCAACCGGTTAATGCTGTTTAGTGAAACAGTCGCTGTTTATTTTGAGAACCATATGAAACATATACGCATAGCGTGTGGGCAAAATTCATTGCTACAATGCAATACTATACATTCCTACACGACTACATTTCTGGTGCGTAATGAGGAGCTTCATAACTTTTACTCTTCGCCAAGTATAATTAGAATGGTCAATTCAAGGAGGATGAGGTGGGCAGGGCATGTAGCACGAATTGGGAGAAGAAGAATGCCTATAGAAGAGCCAGAAGGAAAGAGACCACTAGGAATACCAAGACGTAGGTGGCTGGATAATATTAAAATGAATGTTAGATAGAATGGGGTGGTATGGACAGGATCGATCTTGCTGAGGATAAGGACCATTGGAGGTCTCTTGTAAACACGGTAATGAACCTTCGGGTTCCATAAATTTCTAGGAAGTTCTTGAGTAGCTGGACAACTGGCGCCTCCTGAAGAAGGACTCAGCCACATGAAGTTAGTCATTGTCCAATTCTACATACCCCAAGAGTTCCAGAATTGATTCTTAACGATTATGATTAATTACAATGCGTATTTTACATGGGAAGGGGCACACGGTAGCGTAGTTAGTGGAGCCACTGAGCTACAAGCCGGAAGGTCACGGGTTCAAATCCCGATGAGGTGGACTTTTTCAGTTGACCTAATCCTTCCAGCCGCACTATGGCCCTGGCGTCGGCTCAGCCTCTAACATAAATGAGTACCATGAATCTTCCTGGGTGTAAAGCGCGGCCGGCGCATAGGCCTGACAACCTTACCGCCATCTGTGAGCCGATTGTCTAAAGAAAATGTGGGAGCCTCGATGTCTCACAACCCTATGGGCCTCCACGGCCTGTTACAGGGATGGCTTTTTGTTTCTTCTTTTACTTTACATGGGATGTCAAATGAATTCACTCTGACACTTCATTAACCGTTTATCACATATGGATGAAGGTGGTCACCGAATCCTCTAATCTCCGGGAAGTCACCGCCATATCTCCTTACGAGGCCTGCTTTATATCGGGCGACGAACAGTATTTTTGGTATATTTTATAAGTCATCAGTGATGTAGAGTTCAAACAGACATGAATTTGACGAATATCGACTTACCACTGCTCTACTTAAGCCGTCAAATAGTTTTCTGCCCGCAGCGATCTTGGCCAAAGACCAGAAGTAAACATAATGCAACTGTTAATTGTAGAATATTGTTTTTATCGTGTAGTTCATGTTATGTATATTTTTATGACATGTTTCGGCCGCATGCATCCATGTATATTTCTTGCTTTAATTTTTTTTCACCACACTCATATCAGTTTGCAGTATGTGACAGCATCAGAGTTCTGTGTCCGATTTGGGCGTAAAAACAGGTAAAACTCTCCCTGTAACAGGCCATGCAGACCCATAGGGCTGTTACACGTCGAGGCTCCAACATTTTCTGAACAATCGGCTCACAGATGGCGTTGAGGTTGTCAGCCTTACGCGCCAGCCGCCCTTAACCCCCAGGAAGATTCCTGGTACTCATTTCTGTTCGAGGCTGAGTCGACCCCAGGGCCATAGTGCGGCTGCAAGGATTAGGTCAATTGAAAAAAAAAATCCACCTCCTCGGGACTTGAACCCGAGACCTTTCGGCTTGTAGCCTAGTGCCTCAACCAAATACGCTACCGCTTGTGGTTCTTAATATTAATAATTTAATTAATTTTAACCACGTCAAAATTGGAAGGAGAACTTATATACTTTTATAGAACTGCAGAAACTGATCTTTTGTACATTTATTCAAACTAGAAACAGTGTTAGTAGGCGAAAATATGATTTCATATTCATCACTATCTGCGGATATCAATGAATAAGAATAATAGCAATAAATAATAATTATTATATCACAGATAATAGTGTCAAGAGACGAAAAGATTTAAATTTCTACAAGATATTGCGAGAAATGTATACAATTCAGATAATTAGATCCGTTAACTGCGTTTTTATCTAAAAAATTGGGAATGTTCCGCCATTATTCGATTTCCATGGCGGAACACGTTTGTCCAGCCCACGGAACACACTCTGGGAAGCTTGGCATTCATCTAATTAATATATAAGAATTCTGTTCCCGCCTCAGAGAAAACACTATGCCCCCATTAAAGAGACCGACGCTGTATAGGCAAAGTTTAAGATTTCTTAAACGTTAACGTAAATGGCATACATATTTACCACTGTGCTTTAAACTTTAAAATAACTCGCATATTAATACAAACACTCACATTTTGTAAAACAGTAACAAAATCCGTCACCGTAAGTACACAAGACACAACACAGACTGCTTATCTGTAAGTTGGGACTCTGAACAGCAGGAAAGACCATATGGATAATAATCTTCCAAGACCCGTAATGACGCACAAATTTGTCCGCAATCAAACAGCGACTGTCTGTCAGCACTTTTGACACTCAACCCTACACCCTTAACTATTAACAGTTTTTGTCTGTCATTCTCATACTTATATGATTTGTCTTAACTGGTTCATTGTCTTGTCAGTGCGAAAAATATTCTAAGCAGAGATGGAAGAAATACAAATCTTTTCAAGAGAGTGTCACTTTTTCGTTTCCCTTTGATGAGCACAAGAACTGGCGAAGAATTCAATATCGTAAAACAACACAAAAATAAGTATTTTAAACCGAAATAACTTCAGAGTCTTGAAACAAAGGATAAACTGAAGCGAACCGAACACTTATTTGTCACTTGTATTACTCTTTGACCACTTTTCAGCTCAGCGCCTTACCGACTGCGTCTTTTCTCTATTTCTCTGTCCTTCTAAACCACGGTGACGACGATTCAATATCTATTCTGGGGCACTGTTGCTTAGTAGCGCGCGAATTTTCAGCGGTTGCTTCTGGTACTACCGTCGCAAGAATCAGCTGTTCTTAACAGAAAATAGAACACACGCAGACTAACAATTAGTTAATTACATGGCTACCCGAAAATGTTAATATATAGAACATAATATGGCCGTATAAACTGTGACGTAAGCAAAGCGCCCGAATAATTGGACATTATTATCCATGGTTTGTTTTTTGAGTAAAGAAGCATTACATCCCGGAAGCGGGGAATGCTTCTATCGCCAGGTAAACGCAGTAAATTTTCTCTGTTGATTCTGTCCGAAGTAATCTCTATGTAATTAGTAACATGACATTAATTGTTTTCGAGGTTACGAATATGTGGATCTGTGAACCTACCTCCACTCCACCAGATATTTTCACGATATTGCGCGCAATTAAGCACACGGACAATTTTTTACATTACCTTATTAGGTGCGGTAAAAAATGTAAAACTATCCCTGTAACAGGCCGTGGAGGTCCATAGGGTTGCGAGACGTCGAGGCTCCCACATTTTCTCTAGACAATCGGCTCACAGATGGCGGTGAGGTTGTCAGCCGGCCGACCTTTACCCCCCCAGGAAGATTCCTGGTATTCATTTCTGTTAGAGAAGGTAAAAATTGTAAAACTGTCCCTGTACTTAATTAATTAAGCACTACGCCATGAAGACGTATTGGGGAGTGGAGATGCTATTCCATCATTCTCGGGCTCGGCATTAGAAGGTGTATGGTCAGATTAATGCCCGAACCGCTTTATCCTGGGGGAAAGAGCCCCCGGTGCCTATTGGATAAGAGGCTGGGGGGGGGGCCAAGTACTGATCTGGAAGCTGAGGAATAGAGAGGAATTGCTTGACCCTGCCTAGAATCTAACCCCGACCGTCCAACCCGTCGCTATTACAGGAATAGAGCCCTCTTTGTTCAGAAAGGTAACTGATCCTCTACTTAATGGTAAGAGACATTTCCCGAATTTGGTTACTAAACGGGTGAACTGATTGATACATTTCGAGTGATGAATTCTTCAGTTACTTAACGACATTCTTTTACTACATCGGTTATATATGATATGATTGCGAACAGTTATGTTAAGATGACTGAGAAAATGGTGTTCGGATGAAAAGAATTGTGGTCCAGGATTCCTTTGGAAGCATAAAAGAGAGACCGGAACTATCCCAGAGAAGGTAACTGGTCTCTGGGAAGTTAGGTAACATTATTTAAAATCCTGTCTCAAGGAATCACAGAATTCTGGAACAATTTTGTTCTCCTTGAAGAAGAGTTGTGACGGTTAGAAGACATGTGCTTCTAGAACAATCAGTCTCTTCGCGACCAATAGCTTCCTCCTATAGTTGTCTACTTAAGCGCTAACCTTCATCCTTCAGCAAGTCAAAGAGCAGACGCTGAGATGTATTTTCGTCTGATTCCAAGAATCAGGGCGTACTCGCCTTACAATCAAAATGGTGTAACTTTTGGCGAGCCTCCGGTCTTAATGATCGGGCTGTGTGGTCGTAAAAAGCCACGAATGGCTGTCCTGGAAACAGATTGGACAACTTCACGGCATATGAGAAAGGGGCCCGTAAAGCCTTCTAGAGGCAGAAACACATTGAACCCTTTAAAGGACAGTGGTTTCTATATGTACCATCTCCTTTAACATTAAAGTATTCTGCATTTTGTCCACTCTGTGTGTTCCGTATGATGTTCATAATAGACAGTGATTATTTCCCTAAACAGCATTAACTGATTGGTCGTTGTTATGGAGACGTAATGTTTCCTGTGAGGTACGAACTGGCTTTTTATATATGGTATTACTTGCTCTGCCCTTATCAGAAGGACAATTGGTCGAAGCCTGGGAACCTTCTAACAAAATTACACTTTTTTTTCCTCCATGAATCTTCTATCACATCTTCCAAGATTTTCACCAACCCTTCTATACTTCATGCCCTTCTCCCTCCCACCACACGCAACCTCCCCCATCCCCAATGTTAAACGCAAAATTTCACCCTAATTCAACCCTCACAACATTAATCTCAAAATTCTGATGATACGCAGTAAAGCCCCTGTTCAACGTCTTTCCTCTTCTCGTAACAAAGTTCACCTCCTAACCCCTTTACCTTCTTCGCTTCCTAACTCTTTACCCTCTCTCAAACGTTCCACTACCAAAAGGATGAGTATGCACTGCCTGGGAACCTTCAAAGCGGGGAAATTTTCTTTCCCTTCCTTAAAAAGTTTAATGTCCCTCAATACTCCTCCCTATCGATATCGCTTCTCTCTCTCACTCTCGTTAGTCACGCTTCGTGCCATAGGTTTTCTTGTTTTTTCTGTGTCACTGAGAATGTTGAGACATTTTCAAGTTGTTACTGTGTGCCCCTCCTGATTTAAATTCATCGGAACTGAGCCCCCCATTGCTCTGGAGGACCCCAAATTATGCTACTCAATCAGAAAATTCCTCAGTTCTGAACTAACGCGACGAAAACTCGTTCATGAACATCCAGGTTAGTCAGCATTGCTTATAACCTGCTTGATATCCATGCTGGTAATTGATACACGCGACTGGCCACAATTTCAGGTTTCAAGTGTTTTAGAAGAGAAGGCTCTGGCGTTGCAGATGTTGCAAAGAAATGGAATTCTCGTTTTTTGAAGAGTTGCGCTGGGGTTTTACTATTCCCATAGCTAAATAAACGTCATACGCAAAAATCCCAAGGTACTATCGCATATTTTTATGAGTTTAGAAGTGGAACAGCGTTCGTTGAAAATAAAACGCACTGTTTGAGGCACTGATACACGGAACATTGCATTCAGACAGCGTAAATTTAATAAAATTCTGCAAAATTTGAGGCTCTCACAGTGGTCGATATGAAGATTAGTGTTCTGTGATATTTGAAGTATCCGAAACGTCGGTATATTTTTTCCTAGATTACACAGTGTCAGATCCAAGAATACAGTAATCATCTTTGTAGGATTTTAGGTTATTAAGGAGTTGGTTATGAAGAGTTCTATCTCTAAGCACATAGCGCCGTGTAGTCCTTTGAAAGCCAATGGAGGTTTCAGGGGAATATGTCGCCTCCATTTTCAGAGTCTTCAACCCTGAAATAACGGTTGACTTTCAATGGACTATATCGCGTTATACTCCAGAAGATATTAATGTTTCTAATCTTATTTCACGTTTATATCATCTATTTTCTTTTTAGCTACTTATCTGATTTTATTAATGAAAATACAGGAGGTCCTGGGTAAGAACGTCGGCATGGATACCGGCTATCATGGCTGCGAGTCTTATATGTTTATCTTCAGTACCTCCAAGCGAATTCCTGGATAATGCTTAGGTCAGTTCCTTCAAATTCTGTTCCAATTTATCATTTATTAATCGTCCCATTATCAATTATTTTAATGTTTTCACAGCATCATTCAATAAATAAATAAAATTAACCAGCTTAGGGGATGATTAGAGTTATGATATCTAAGATATGACGCCGTATCTACTGGTAGATGATCATCATCAGTGGCAGCGCAGTATTTCCTGAGCCATAACCTTCCTTAGAATATCCTGCCAGATGTCTCTACTCCCAACAGTGCGTCAGGAACCAGCCCATCCGACTTCCTCATCATTGGATTTCACAACAATTTTCTTTCTTTTCTTTTTCACAGAGCAAGATCGTCAGCCTTGCGTTCAACCCACAGGACCAGGTCCATGTGCTCATGTTTCCCCAGCGACAGGATGACCCAGTTATACCCCCAGGAACCGGGTTCCCTTTTCGTCGCTTTCTACGACTCACAGGGCAACGGTGGAGGTACTCGAGCCCTCCTCCACGCGGGAAATTTCTTGTAGATAAGTACCAATATTTCGGAAGAATCTACTACTTCCATCTTCAGGAAAATTCGGGAAGAAGGTTTCTCCGAATGGTATCACATGCCTCACGGTGAGAGCCTCATTCCCGAATCTGAAACTGAGGCACCCTGTGACGTGCATGACCAGACCATGGATGTCTCGATATCTTGACCAGCAGCATGTTCAGTAGCTGCACCGTTAGCTATTTTTACTTATGGCTTACCCGTCGGTTGTCAGAATGAAACTGAGGGGGCACTGCTTCCTGTAAACTTGAGATATACGAACCGTTACAGCACTTCCACACTAAACGCATTCACAACAAGCGTCGGGATAACCAGTATAGTGACTAGCTTACAAACTGGCTGACAAAAGAATCAGTGTTCGATCCCTGACAGGAGAAAAAGTCACTCTCTTCTCCATAGCGTCAAGACATCCTCTGGGGCCCATGCAACTTCCTATCCAGTGGGTCAAAGGAGAGCTTCCCATGGGGTAAAGCGGCTGGAGCGTGAAGCTAACCACTCCATACACTGTTGAAGTTGCTCCACTCCTTCATACGTCTTCGTGATAAGGCACAGAACAAATCTTTTATATTGCAGAGGAATATCCTACACGAAATAAGAAAACAGAAGGCTAATTGGATTGGTCATATCTTACGCAGTAACTGCCTTCTAAAAGAAGTTATTGAGGAGAAGATAGAGGGGCGGATAGAAGTGACCAGAAGACGAGGAAGAAGACGTAAGAAGATGCTGGATGACCTTGGGGACAGAAGAGGATATTCTCATTTGAAGAAGAAAGCTCTAGATCGCATTAAGTGGAGGAACTGTTTTGGAAGAGACTGTGGACCTGTCGTCTGACAGATTACTGATGATTGAATGATGAATGAAGGATAAAATTGTTCTGTATTATGTATTAAAACAAGATATAACCTAAGGTAAAGTTGTCCCTGTGCTTAATTAATTAAGCACTATGCCGTAAAGACGCATTGGGGAGTGGTGGTATAGCTCCCCCATTCCTGACTTTGGCGCTAGATAGAGGTGAATGGTTAGTTTCACGCTTGGGCCGCTTTACCCCCGGGAAAAGAGCCCGCGGTACCCATT